CTGCGTTCAAAATATATTTTGTTGAATGCATAAAACTGCGTTCAAAATATATTTAGCTGAATGCATAAAACTGTGTTCAAAATATATTTAGTTGAATGCATAAAACTGTGTTCAAAATATATTTAGATAATAAAACTGTGTTCAAAATATATTTAGTTGAATGCATAAAACTGCGTTCAAAGTATATTTAGTTGAATGCATAAAACTGTGTTCAAAATATATTTAGTTGAATGCATAAAACTGTGTTCAAAATATATTTAGATAATAAAACTGTGTTCAAAATATATTTAGTTGAATGCATAAAACTGCGTTCAAAATATATTTAGTTGAATGCATAAAACTGCGTTCAAAATATATTTAGATAATAAAACTGTTCAAAATATTTAGATTTTGACATAAAATAACCGACAGAATTAATGTGCGCTGAAACAAAATCTACCAAAACAAACCAAACACAGTCATTCCTAGTAACTCCTTGCGTCTTAGTGGCATTATCATCTTACTTGTGGTGAATTGATAAAAGTCCACATTTTTCATCGATCCAATCGTGAATAGCTATGCACAACATGTAAGTTATTGAACCCTTTACTATCATACATGTAGAGGAGAATGTCACTGTGAGAAAACATTAATTTTTCCAACAAATGGCAAAAAGGAGTTTGAATAGGACCCTAGCAATATAATATGTAATGGCATAATGATTTATTTGATAAGTTTTCATCCATGTACGGTGTACTTTCAGGTCATAGGCGATCATCAGCTTCCACAAATTCCTATCCTTCATAGCTCTAAGTAAATCTTTTCTTAGCAGTTAGTCTATCTCTCTTAATCCCTTTTCAGTCAACTATTTAAACAAGCTTATTAAGTAGATTATTAACTACTTTCCTGTGTCTCTCTTGCTTCAATATGTTCTGTGCGCGTTAAATTTTCTAAGCCCTCTTTTCTAATTATGTGCCCTAGAAAATTCAACTGCCTTTTTCTGATTCGAATTGCAAGTGTCTTTTTTATTTTTATTTTTCTTAAAATTTCAATGTTGCTTACATTTTCAGTCTATGATGTTCTCAGCATCCTTCTGTAGAACCACATTACTGTTTCCTCAAGTCCTTTCTTCATCTGTGAAAATTTGTCCAGTACTCCTTATACAGGAGGACCGATATTACATGGCAGTTCCGTACTCTTTTTTGTTGCTTCCCTAAACACTAAGCCTACTACTAGATTGACTACTACTAGATTGACTACTACTAGATTGACTACTACTAGATTGACTACTAGGTCTCTTCGCTTTACTTTTCAGTTCGCTAGATGTCACCTCAAGTTCTAATGTAATAGTACTTTTCTCGCACTTCTCATGCTGACTTCTGGCTTCCCTGCCGCCTGCAATCTTCAAATATTTAAATGCAACATTATTCACGATATTCTCTCTTTCTCATCCTGTGTGTTCTCCCCATTAAAGTCTTTTCATCTTCTTCCATTTCCAGTAACCTCATTTGTCTTAGTGACATTATCGTCTTGCATTGAGGGAATGATTATAAACAAAAGAATTTGAACCTCTTCAAATAAAGAGTCAATCGGCAACTGACCTCCTTATCCTCATGATATTAATTTCTTTCATCCATATAGTCCAGAAACTTCATTATTATTATCATAACAGTAACTTGACTTGAATGATTCTGGAGCCTTGTATTAGTTTAATTTTATTATACTAATAATTTTAGCGAAGTATGAAACAGTTAATACTATACTATTTACAACCGACTTATCATTTGATTTGTGTTCTGAAATCTTTATTCTACAATGGTCTATGTGATTAATAATCACTATTGGATTAGGTGCATTTATAAAGGAAAAGATTGTGTTGAAAAAATCATTTAACATCTTTCATCATTAGGCTACGGAGAAATCAGATATAAAATATGCCTTACATAGGATATTGTTTCGCAAAGTTTAAAAGGTGTCTTTTTATAGCAGTCGTGAACTAAATTCGCATTTAATCGGATTCAAAATCCGCCCAGAAAATATATTGTTGTATTTATAAGGAAGACAAGATTATCGTGTTTTTAACAAAATAAGATAAATACATAAGGTTTTTTCTTTTATTATATATTAAAATAAATCTATTATTCTCTTTCAGTTTTTGACCGTGTTGTGTTTTTTTTTGTGTGTTTTTTGTTCTCTTCTCAGTTGCCTCTATAGGCTCCATCGTTGTACTCTTATCTGCCATTTTGTTTCGGATTTTCCAGGTCATGTAGAAATAGTTTTTTTGTTTTTTTTTGCCGGCTATTGTTTCTTTTTAAGTAACAGAGGTTCAATTGTTTAAACCCAAGCTATATTTGTTGTCTGTTATTTTTGCTTTGTGACCGAACTCGCCAGCAAGTTGAGAACAATCATCAGCTTGACCATTGTGTTTATTAAAGCCAACGCATCCAAAACGCAATGGAATCTTGTGTTATTTTCTTGTAAGACTTACGACCTTTTCTCACTTCATCGTATGAATTTCAACAAAAAAAACAAACAAACAAACGAGGAGGACAGAATATTCAAAATCGATATATGTAAGTAGAATTTCACTTATTTTGCATATTGTGCATTATAGTAAGACGGTTTTATCACATGATAATTATATTTTCACCTGTGTTGGACACATTCATAAGCTATATTGTGCCGTAGTTAAATTTAAGATATCAACACTTCTACGTTTTCTTTTTTGTAGTGAGTTAAAGTGTTATATTTGGCGCAAAAACATTTTGTTTATGGATACTTTAAAAATCCTTACATTTCTGCACAGAAATATTTTATTTTCTGTAATTAAAAACTTATATAGGCTCTGATTGATTGACCTACTAGAATTTAATTCCAGGGGAATTCTAGAGATACAGAAATTAATTTTGTCTGTTAAACGTGTCTAGGACACGCCTAGAATTAAATCCTAGGGTCGGATTTGACTTAGGGACTCGGTTAAGGGTTTGGGGTAGGTATTTTGTCCAACTTATTATCGTTGAGATAAACAACATCAGCCTATCATTTAAACTGTTCATTATGATACGCTGAAATAACAAACTGTTTTGCTTTGTTTTTCAACAGTATCCTGCTTCAGATACGGTCCACTCGTTTAAGCGAAAAACATCCCGTGTCCAAATTCCAGATGCTCAAAGCAAAGCGGCTACTGGGCCCATTCTAAACGACTCTTCAATCTGCAAAGTAGAACGGCCCGTGTCATGTAACCCTTATTCGTCATATTCAGAAAAAGGAAGGTGGTCAGGAAGTTGCTTGTCCCGCATACAGCAAACGCAGAAATCTTTTTTTTCTGATTCTCAAGAATGTGTGCTTTGGAATTGCCTGTGAGATTGCTCTGACAGGCACTATGGTCTGTTGTTGAAGGATCATACATACTAGCATCTTATTGCGCTATCAAGGTTGGTATTGACCGCCCAGCATTAAGGAACGACAAACAGCAAGCGGGAAACGACTGGCGGCCGTTCTTTTCCTATCGCCACAATCTCTCTCTCAGTGTTGCCAGATGGGGGAGATATATATTTGGTTCTATAGGCTCGTTTTTGAGTTATGTTTTAACAATCTCCTGGACATTTCTGAAAAGTTCTCGTTTTCTCCGGAGAATATCTGCAATTTGGATGAAACTAGGTGTGACAACACTGCACGAACAGGTCAGAGTTGTTGCTCATAAAGGAAGCAAAACTGTTGGACGCATTGAATCTACACAAAAATACACCGATGTGACACTAGAGTGTGCTATAAATGAAACTTGAAAAAGCGTTCTCCCTTTTTTCTTTTTCTGATGAATCTGTTTTTAAGACCATTTTCTGCATGTTGCTCTAGAATTTTTTAAGCAAATCACCCCAAGCAAGAGGGAATTGCCACTAGCACGCAAGAAGTTACGGAAAGTGAGAGTAAGAATAAAGTGGATTGTTTGGAAAAAAGATAAAGAGAAGGACAGAGATCAAGGTCAAGGTATCAGAAAATGTCGATTGACATTATATTCGAATATTTGAAGATTATAGCTATCAGGGAAGCAAGTGAAAGGAAGGGAGTTCCACTGACGGGAAGTGCGAGAGAAGAATCTGTTGGAATAGAAAAGATGGCTACATTTAGGCGTTTCGACAGTGAAATGGTGGAACCGAAATGCCAACCTAGTAGCACGCTTAACTTCATGAAGTTTGGGAAGCAGTGAAAGCAGGTTTTCGGGGCAGTTGGCATGAAAGAACTTTTTGAAAAGACAGAGAGAAGCCACCTTCCATCTCTGTATTTTGTCTAGGATGTCGAGATGAACAGCGGTAGCACCAAACCATATGGCAGCAGTATTCCATTCAAGGGCGAATGGTTTATTTGTAGATTTGATGGATGGACTCAAAGAAGAGAAAAAACCTTATGGCTCGACATAGAACCAACATTCCTCGCGGTAGATGAAGCTATAGATTCAATGTAGTTGTTCCACTTCAGGTCAGTGGACAACGTGAGACCAAGCAGGCGCAGAGAGACGCTCTCGTGGAGTTAGGCATCATCCACACTGATGGGAGGCAGGGAGGATTCTCTATGCTGGGTAACTGAGAGCAGTTTTGTTTTAGAGGCATTAAAGTTTACAAGACATTTCCTGCCCCAGCCAACCACAGAAAAGGAGTTGCTAATCGTAGCGGCTGGATTAAAGACGACATCTCCCTATTTTTCCTTCAGCATTTAGCACAATATGCAAAACCTTCACCCTATAACATCGTGTTTTTGATTTTAGACAGCTATAGTTCCCATTTGTATGTTTCTGCTATTGACTTCTGTCGGCAAAACAACATCTTTAAACTGAGCCTTGCACCACGCTGTTCTCATAAATTACAGTCATTAGACAGGGTCATTTATGTACCTTTTAAAACATTTTATACAGAACCATTAGATGCATGGTCTCGAGAAAATCATGGAAAAGCCATGACAATCTATGATATCCCCGGAATTATCGGATTCCCGCTTTCCTGTTCAATTACACAGTGGAAAAGATCATGGACGCCTTCAGATGTACAGTAATTCCTTTGCAAGATTCCTTTGCCCTATCCATCCTCCAGCAGTTGTGCACCGACTCCATCCATCGGCAGTTTCGCAACTACTCCTTCCACCAGCAGTTGCGCACCGACTTCCTCCACCAGTTGCGCACCGACTTCCTCCACCGGTTGTGCACCGACTTCCTCCACCAGTTGTGCACCGACTCCATCCATCGGCAGTTGCGCACCGACTCCATCCACCAGCAGTTGCGCACCGACTTCCTCCACCAGTTGCGCACCGACTTCCTCCACCAGTTGCGCACCGACTCCATCCACCAGCAGTTGCGCACCGACTTCCTCCACCAGTTGCGCACCGACTTCCTCCACCGGTTGTGCACCGACTTCCTCCACCAGTTGTGCACCGACTCCATCCATCGGCAGTTGCGCACCGACTCCTTCCACCAGCAGTTGCGCACCGACTTCCTCCACCAGTTGCGCACCGATTTCCTCCACCAGTTGTGCACCGACTTCCTCTACCAGTTGTGCACCGACTCCATCCATCGGCAGTTGCGCACCGACTCCTTCCACCAGCAGTTGCGCACCGACTTCCTCCACCAGTTGCGCACCGACTTCCTCCACCAGTTGTGTACCGACTTCCTCCACCAGTTGTGCACCGACTCCATCCATCGGCAGTTGCGCACCGACTCCATCCACCAGCAGTTGCGCACCGACTTCCTCCACCAGTTGCACAACGACTTCCTCCACCACTTATGAAATTTCCCATATTCCTCACAAGGATAGAAAAAATCAGCCAAACAAGAACAGAGAAGGCGGAGGAGGAAAAGTGAAATAGTAACGAGCAGCCCTGTTAAAACTTGACTCCTCTCTCAGAAAGAAGGCGAATGAAAAAAAGAGTTGGAGAAGGGAAGGGTAAAAAAAGGGATGGCAGGCCTACCAAGATGCTGCTTCATGACGAATGTGAAATGTCTTTCGAGGTTGAAAATTGGTATAGTCCGGTTTGCCTGGAATCTTACTCTGCCAGCAGGCCAGCTGAAAGTTGGGCCCAGTGCAAAGCCTGAGTACACTGTCCTTGGAAGCTAAAAGTATGTTTATGCATGCCTAACGCTGAGAGTAACTGAAGAGAATTTATTGAGTCCCTATTTTGAAATTATCATTTTATGTGTGTTAAAGTTGGATTTGATGCATTAATCTGGTATCGGAGTGGTTTCATTGTCCTAGTTGCTTACATTTACCCCACCATTTTACATTGTGCCACACTATCTGTTACTTCTTTCCAAAGGGTAAAAAGTAAAATTTTACAATTTTCAATTATTTCACGTTAAGTCCTTAAATTGAAATGACATCTAGAATAGCTCCTCATCATAATGTTGATTTAAATCTAATGTTCATGTACAGCTTAAATAACCGTATCTGTTTTAATTATATGCTCGGCACGGTAATTATAAATAAAAGTGTTATTTTGTGCTTCGTTTTCCACTAACATTGAGAAAATGAGATTACTCACAGGATCAAAGAGGGATAGTACGTTTTATCATAGAGAGTTCCGACGTCAAGTTCTCTATAATCATGATTCTAAAAAAGATATTTACGAGGAAGACATGGTATCAAAAGTCACATAATTTTGGTATGACATCGTTTGTTAATTGTTAGCAAACTGGAGTTGTATATCATTAGTAGTGAGTTCAAACATCACTCAATACCTCATCCTTAATTGTTAAATAACTAAGGGCATTTTTTTTTCGGTTTAATCTCTATCTATAAAAGACAGGATGTGTGTGTGTGTGTATGTGTGTGTAACGAATGCACAGCCGCAATTTTCGACGGATTTGCACCAAAATTTACATACACATGCTCCAAGTTATCAGAAAGGCCAAGACCGACTTTGCATTTCCCAACTCCCATCGATAGTGGAAATAATCGATATTTCATGATTCTACGGCAGTTTTCATGTAGTTTGCGGCCATTTTCTACTGGCCAGAGTGAGAGCCTATAGTTGGCTGCCACGAATAGGCAGGAAGATTCTATTGGCCAGCGTGAGAGCCAACAGCTGACTGACACGAATGTTAACTAGCATGCTAGCATGCAAAAAAAAAATCGATAGCTGCATTCATCACAAGTGGGAAAAATTTCAATCTGTATGGCACTTTACTCCAATTGGCTCATTCGCTTGCTTAAACTCAACGTTGATTCTGATTCCGCAGAACTGGGTTGGGTGTGAAAATGTATTTGTTGTTAAAATTCTTTTTTCATTCGGTTTTTCCAGTTACGCGTCCTTTTTTAAAGCTGATCGTTTTGTGTTCATTTTGTTTAGTTCTTTTTTTCCTAACAGATTTAATGTTTAGTGTAGAGCTTAGAAAAAATTCGCAGTGTGAGATAGGCAAGAAGTAAGGCATGTAGTAACATCACCACGTTAAAGGGCACTCCTTTAAAGGCAAGTAAGGGCAAAAAATATTTTAAGTCAAGTGATAGCGATTGCTGTATGAGTCGTACGATTTTTGAATCAAACACGGGCAACCCCGGGCCATGCTGCTAGTTTTCAATAAGATGGATTTGCAGTCACCAGTTCAAACCTCATTCGTTGGCCCATAATTCTGATTAGGTGTCTGAATTAAGCTATACTTGGTAAATAACGGTTCCATACGTCACGGAGACCTGGGATATGACAGAAATGTTCAACTGCAGACAAGGAACTGTGTAAGGATCGCACAAAAATGATAGCCGAGTACACTTCGAAGGACACGAAGGTCGCTCAGTGGATACGAATAAAAAGTCATATCAGTAATACCCTTAAAATATTGATAAGTGAAAATCGAACTATAAAGTTTGACGCTGCTCCAAAAACCTACTTTCACTGCTTCCCAAACTGCATGAATTTAAGCGTGCTACTATGTTGGCATCTCAATCCCACCCTTTCACAGTCGAAAAGGCTAAATATAGCCATCTCCTCTACTCAAACAGATTCTTCTCTCGCACTTCCTGTCAGTGGAACTCCCTTCCTTTTACTTGCTTCTCCGACAGCTATAATCTTCAAATATTCAATAGGTGTCAATCGACATCTTCTGATACCTTGACATTGATCCCTGTCCTTCTTTCTTCTTCTCTCACTCTCCGTAACCTCTTGTGTGCTAGTGGCAAATTCGACCTGAATAAAAAATATATTTTGCAAAAGGAAATCAAGTCAATTCGAATTGAATTTATACTGATGACTTAAGCTGTAGCTTATAATATTTAAATACCAAATTCAAATTCGTTCTGAAATAACAGGACGGACAAATCTGATTGCTGTATACCATAAACCAGTGTGTTTGACAAAGGCTTAGCTTCTCTGGAACAAGAGACATATGGTAATAGAATAATTTAATTAACTTGAATCACGTATTCGGTTATTCGTAACTCAAATTAAACCAGTCAAACTTGATTTGAAGTCGATTCTGTTCACTTTAAATCATATCTGAAAAGTATTTTAATAATATTAGTAAATAAAGTGTTTTGATTAATTCGATTTACTGAACAAATTTTATTTGCTAGTGACATTCAAATTTTATTCATTTAGCTTCAATACTAATATATATTCTATGTACTACTATTTTTTAATATATTTTTTAACTGACACGCTTAAAAAAATCATCAACTTTGTAGGCAGGCCTACTTTTGTGACACAGTTTTATATATATTTGCAAATGTGTATTGAAAAATCACTATTTGAGGTTTATCTGACCAGGACGTTCTACGTAGCCGAGTAGGTCTAAGGCACGTCAGATCTTATGACGGTTTCCTCTAGGGACGCAGGTTCGAATTCTGTCGGAGGACGCATAAATGGGACTCATCAGCAGTGAGCATCCACTACCGAAAATTGAAACCCGGATAGTTACACTGACAGGCGAACGTGTACTAACCGGCCTCGGTGACGAAGCGGTAGCGAACTAGACTCGATATTGCGCCACACGTTCACACACACACACACACTTCTAAATATAGATATATTATGCCTATTGTGAATCAGGATAATCCTGGGATTGAAAGTTTGCTCTTCAAAAGGAGCTTGAACGTCCAGCATTGGGATTTGTGTCCAGACAAGGAAGAAAAAGTTAAAAATTCAAATTCTAAAATAACTGAAAAAAAAAATTGTCATTTTAAAAGTTTTTAAACTATATTGAGTTTAAAGGAAACAAAAACTTTGTGGATTTTATTTTATTCTATTTTTTTTTTTTTTTTAAATTAAGTTTAAAATGTCTCCAAAAGTTTGTGAATTGAGGAAATCAGTTTTATTTACATTACAAGAGCTGCAGTGTATAAAGCAGGTTATAAGCGTGTGGGGAAGGCAACAGGAAGTCAGTTCACAGTTTTCTCCCTAGAAGTCATGGCTATTTAGATACGGTAAAGAAACCGGATCTATGGAGAGCCATGATCGTCTAACTCCTAATAGAATATGCCATTAAAAAGAAGCATTCTTTATTGCATCTACCTTTGGAGGAAATTGATTCTGCTACAAAATCGAAGTGATTCATCAATGAGCCAAAACTGCTATTTTATTTTATAATAATGTTAAGAGATAGCAGTAATGGATTATCGTCTTACACATAAAAAAGTCCCTAGAAAGCGTTATTCGATTTTAATAATAGGGATGACCTTCCTTTAAGAACGTTACAGTTAGATGGAGAAAAACTAATGCTTAAAAGAGTGGCGTAGTAGCTTATTGTATCGGAAAATGACAAAGTCAAAGACAAATATCAACGATTCAATCTCACGTTTTAGAAATAATCATCCAAGTGAAATATCAGATTTCAACTCAGCTTAGTCGTTGTAAAACCAACATACATATTAACATTTCTATCAGAGATACAATCTCCTAAAGGACATGTAAACTAATATAAATATATATTTATTTTATGTAAATTCTTTTCATAACGTTTGATAAGTTTAATAACATTATCATTGAAGGAAGAAAGAAATTCATAATATTGATCCATATTTCTTAATACAATCTAAGCTTTCGGCTTACATAAGCCATTATCAAAGATGTCAATTACAACATATTAAGCAATATACTGACAAAACAGTGATGATAGTCTGTGATTGTTTACATAGATGATTACTAAGCAACGATGAACACGTGCATATAAGACGCTAGAAGCGAAAATCGCATCGCATCTCATGACGTCACACATGACCACGCGAGAATGAATTGGAGAAGTATGAAGTATGGGAAGCCATTTGTATAAACCAATGGTTTCTGTTACCAATTATAGACATTTAAGGATATTTGTAGAGATTCCATAATTGATTTTGTTTATGTTTGTTTTCAACTGTTTGATGTATAATGCTTCAAGGATGTTTAGTTTTTGTCTATTGTTTTCATGTCGAAGTATAATTGTGTTTTCGACAAGCATTTTACGGAATTGTGTATATATATATATATATATATATATATATATATATATATATATATATAAAAGAAATATATTAATTATAAATTAATTGATTTAAAATATGTTTTTTTTCCGCTACACAGTTCTAACCATGTTTCAAAAATGGAAGCTAAAAGCCACGAATTTAATTTTGCAATTAAATTAAAGACATTAGTTCCATTTCATCCTCAAGCGAATTTTGGAGTAACTTTTAAAATTACTGGCTTTTAAAAACACAGCTAAGATCACGTTTCCATGGTTACAGATAAATCTACTGCAACTGGACAAGGGTTGTCTGGGTTTTCCTTATGTCTGTATCATTGTATCGGTTATTAGCTACATTTTGGCAAGGGGTAGGGATGTATTTTTCAATGAAAACTGACATCCGTTGAATGCATGTTGTCTGGATTTTTTTTAAATTTATTGTTAACGGCAAAAGAAAATCTTACGGCATTTTTTTCTATTTGTAAATTTAAAGATTTTCGTGGGTGTTCAGATTAGAATACTTTTTATTTAAGTACGATTTGTAATATTCTCATTTTTAATTTTTATTATACTATATATATTTTTTAAGAACAGTTAAATGTATTAGAATCCCTTATAGTATGTAGGATTATTTTTACATCATGTATAAGTATGTATATTAGGTTACATTTTTTATTTTATTTTTTTATTTTTTATTTTTTATGTTATTTAAGTAAAATTTATGACAATGACAATAGTTACTTAATTTTACTGATTTAGTAAACTTCTATTTATATATATATATATATATATATATATATATATATATAAAACCTAGTAATATATTGTTTCTCATGTAAGTACAAAGGACATGGGTCATTCAAAAGCTTACATCTTCTGGCATTTCATATTAATTTTATTTTACTATAGATGTTTTATTGGATTCTTTTAAGTGCGTGTAGTACTAAGTAAAAGAAGTTTAGGTTAGAAATCATTTTATTTAACTACAATTTTAATTACAACTTTAAAATATTTTCATTGTTAGTTTTAATAGACTATATTACTTTATAACAGAAGGAAATATATATATATATATATATATATATATATATATATATGTGTGTGTGTGTGTGTATGTATAATGTGTATAGATAGATAGATAGATAGATAGATAGATAGATTAATCGTTTCATCACAAGCAAAGTGTGGATGCCACTTCACCACAGTGAGTGAAAGTGAAAGAGAATGAGAAGACAGAGAATTGAGAGGATTGAAGAAAGGATAAAAAGTTTAAGTTGGCGAATACTTACCTTCCGATCATCTTTGGTGTTACAAGAGGTTTTGTTGGACCCACATATAATATTCAAGGGCGTTGCAGTATGCGGAGTTAGGCAGCCACATATAAGGGGTGACGTGGTTACAGAAATTATCTGACAGTCATAACTGTGTTCTCCTGCTTGTGTAGCATGATACATTAAACTGTTGCCAAGCATAGGATATTCCAGCAGCCAGCTCCTCAAGACACTTCATGTAGCCCTCCGTGTTTGGTCTGAGGTATTCCCTAACCAATTCACGAGTTATGTTCTTATCAGAACGAGCGGACTGTGCTTTTTTGTGCTACCGTATGTTCTTAATCACCATTAGACTCATCCAACTCTTTCAGAATGCTCTCCACTGTCCTCAGACCAACGCACAAGCACTCTAAAATGTTCGTATTGGTCTTCCGGCGCGAATGCAAAGCAGTACAACATGCCTTTTTTTTCTCACAGTTTTTTTTCCAACTGACACAACTATAATGTACAGCTGGCAAAATCAAAAGACAACAACACCGCGCATGCACAAAATTAAAAATATAAAATTGCGACAATTTACCCATCGCACCCTGTCTGTTGTCATCCGAATCCAGCGTAGACAAACTATAATTATGATACACTTACACACACAAATTATAAACACGGAGACTGCTTGACTAGCCAAATGTACATGGTTTCTTCTTAACCAGTTAAAATCAAACAACAGACAATTAAAAACGTCAGAAAATATTTCCATGTCTCATTTTCTGATGAAAATTAAATAAAAGCAAAACCATAGTTTTTTAAATGTTTCCTAATTGTACTTTATCCTCACATGCATTCAGATTCCAATCCATATTTGATTTGTATTTAAATTCATTTTTTGATTCTAATATATATATATATATATATATATATATATATATATATATATATATATATATATGCATGTTACTCGATTGGCACCTGTGTGCCGACGTTTTTTTTTTAAACTAGTTAAATGCAACTGTCACTTCTACTCTTGCAGTTTTTTTCGTGCATTTCTCACCTGAGGAACCTCCAAAATTCTTGCGACTCTGATACGACAATCTTCAAAAATTAAAAGACAACGTCAATCGCCAATTCTGTCTTTTTAAACATTTTTCCTTTTTTATTCTTTGCTCAATCCTCTCCTTTAATAAAAGTGAATCTGTAGCAGACCGCCTTTTCGAAACAACAAAAGCTTATCTAAAAATCCTTAAGTATGGCAGCTGCTCTAGAGAAATAACAAGAGATTCGCGCAGTTTACTGATTGAGTTCAATTTTCAGAAATTAAACATATCTACTCAAAAATGTCATTATCTATCTATCTATCTATCCGAATCTGTTCATTATTTATCGATCTATCAATTTCATTCACACTAAAGTGGATAAAAGACAGTTAACGTTGGCCAGATATAGTTCTCATATAATATTATTATAATTATAGTATTAATACAAGTGCGGATATATTTTTTATGCTAAATAAACGCATTATTGAGTTGAGAATTTCACAAAATGATCTATCTCCACAGGTTCAACTCTCTCTCTCACTCTCTCTCTGTCTGTCTGTCTGTCTGTCTGTCTCTCTCTCTAGTCATACAAAAGTGCATCAATAAGTATTAACCCTGGGCTAAGAAATTACTTAGTTAAATTTCTATCTGATGTTTTCAATCTTAAACGCTTTATTTATGTGATTAAGAGAAGTCTATTATGTTGAACAATAAATATTTTGTCCAAAATAATCTATATCGCTAGCAAGCTAACACGCTTTCTGTCTGTCTATAAGAGTATATATCTCTCTCTTTCTTTATATATATATATATATATATATATATATATATATATATATATATATATATATATATATATATATATAGGTTGTACATTGATTTCAAGCAAGAAACAGACTGTCGTCACTTGGTCAACACACTATCCCGCATATTGACAATTTTCCTAGTCTACGTATATGTGGATCTATCTATCTATCTATCTATCTATCTATCTATCTATCTATCTATCTATCTATCTATCTATCTTGTCCAAGCATATATGAATCTATTTATCTCAGTCTATGGGTGTTTGGGCGTGCTTTGCTGCCTCTTTTGTTGGTCGACATTGGATGGAATTTGTATGAATACAGAAGATTGGTCTGGAGAAATATACTCCGACTATTTTTTTAAAGAAAAATGGGGAAGCAATATTGTTCCAAGGAATTAGTAGAAAAGCAGTTGCAAAATGATAAATATTCTTGGTAATTGGAAATAAACTGGCATCATTTTTTCTATGGAATGAAGACATTGAAATTACTGGGTTCTACAAAAGAAGCAATAAATTCAGGTACTTTATTATAAGGTTCGAACCAAAATTCACTTAACACACCAAGAAAACATTTTTCATAATTTAGGTTAGGTAGAGGGCTTCCTTCTAAGAAAGTTTAGATTTGGAAATCCGACCTTGAGAAAAAATAATTTTTCATAATCACTTATGTACTCATAATATCTACAAATATTTCTTTGTATGTATTTTGATACACGTACATACACATGTGGGTACACTGGCGGACGCAACTTGTAATGGTTTTTCATTTCTTGGCGAGGCAATAAAAAATCATAGGTATATAATTTTCCAGGAAGTCTGCGGAGAATATTTCCCTGGAAAATTGCAGGCTTGCGTCTGGACTGTGTCTTTCCCATAAAATAACAAGCGAATATGCCGCACCGCAACGGTAAGTGAATTTCGCCCACGTCACCGTTAACCATAATGGGTAATCAAAAGAGGTAGTCATTTTGAATAGCTGGCCGAGAAGACGCCTTTTGGAGCGAGCTCTGTTACAATTCGAAAAGATAAGCCTGCTAAGTCTGACCCTTGATCCACAGATAACGTTAATGCCTGTCGTTCTAGTGACATATTTACGTTGGTCTTTGCGACATTTTATGACTGTCGTTAGTCTACTTGGCATCCAGACCATCCTCTTGCTCAATTTCCCTTTTCCATCTTGTTTCTCATATTCAGCAATCCACTTCCGGTTCCGGGTCTTTCTTCTTTAAATGTCCGCTTCGGTGAATGTTCAGAGTTATCAGCTATCGAAATATTAACTTTGCCATCGTAGCTTTCGTAAAAATGTTTTCACACACGCACTCACAAACACACACGCGTGCGCGCGCGCACACACACACAGACACACACAAAGAGGAACACCTAAACACACAGATTCGCATATACACAAATGTCTATCTATCTATCTATCTATCTATCTATCTATCTATCTATCTATCTATCTATCTATCTATCTATCTATCTATCTCAGTTTGTCCATTATCTATCTATCTATCTATCTATCTATCTATCTAAGAAAAATTTTCTGCTTGACCAAACCAAGAAAATTTTTACTTGTTCAAATTTTGGGAAGTGACACGTATATATATATGCTTACATGTATGTGTGTGTGTCGGATGCACAAAAGTTCTTGGCCTAAGATTATATATATTGTGTAGTTGTAGCAATTGAAACGATTCTCAACATCTGACTGAGCGAAAGGATTTCTTGACCGCGTTGAGATCTTTTTCAGCATTTATTCTTGCACACACACACACACATGCATATATATATATATATATATATATATATATATATATATATATATATATATATATATATATATATATATATATATATATATATATGTGTGTGTGTGTGTGTGTGTGTGTGTGTGTGTGTGTGTGTGTGTGTGTGTGTGTGTGTGTGTGTGTGCAAGAATAAATGCTGAAAAGATCTCAACGCGGTCAAGAAATCCTTTCGCTCAGTCAGATGTTGGGAATCGTTTCAATTGCTACAACTACACAAACACACACACAAATGCGCACACGAACACGCACGCATACGTGTGTGTGTAAGTATATATGTGTGTCAAATTTTGAGCTTAATGCACACATCCACAGAATCATGTCTATTCGTGTTCTTTCTCATTTTCTCGTCTTACCTTCTTTTTTACTGTTCAAAACCTTATTACGTTTTTTCTCTCGTTTCAAATTATCTATTTAGAAAAAAAAAGTTGCCCTCCAATTTTTTTTCCTTTTGTAGAATAACAATATAATTTTCCTATTCCGATTTTTTCTCCTTCTTCTGACCAAACAATCTTCTTGCCTGTCGATTCTATTTACTGTCTCTTACTTTTATATCCAGATCAATTATTTTACATCTCCTTATACTTAACGTTGTTTTTGTATTTTGTCCATCATTGTTTTTCCTTACTTTTGATGTTTTTTTTTTTAATGTTGACTTTTCTGTTTTTATGTAGTTCTTTGATGACTTTCCTCGTCAGTAAATTCTGTTTTGCTCGCTTTCCTTCTACCATTTACTTGAACCTTAATCTCCTATCATAAAATAGTAAGATTAGCTTGAATTGCACGAGCCACTTACATTTGCAGTAATGCTTTTTGTCTATCTTTCTTTCTTTCTTGTCCGGTCTTTTCTTTTTCTTTTTTCTTTTTTTTTTTAGCTTCTTCCTTTATTCAATTCTTTTGGATTTTATTTTACTTTCCATTCTTAAACTTTCTTCTATTTTATTTTTATACAATCAGGTGTGCTTTTCAGAATTTAGTTTCGTGAAAATATTTCTTTTTGGATTCCTTTGTTTTCTTTCTCGTGTTGCTTAATAGCTTTTATTCATTTTCCCGCGTTCCTGCTGTTTTTAAACCAACCTAACTTTTTTCTTATTCTTTTTTCCTCTCACCAACTTTCCCCTGATTCAATCTTTTATTTCTTTTAATATTCAAATTTTGATTTTCCTACTTATTGTTTACTGGTATTTGATTATTTTAAAGTTTTAATTTATTTACTCGTACGAGAAAAAACGTTTCCAGCCCTTTATATGAAATTAGAAAATGAGTACATAGAAAGAAACGTTTTTCTGTTGTAAACTTTTGCCTACACGAAATATTTTATTCTTTCGTCAGTACTTGTTTTGTTTGTTTGATTTATTTATTCTTTCTTTCTTTCTTTCTTTCTTTCTTTCTTTCTTTCTTTCTTTCTTTCTTGTTTATAATCTGTTATTTTAAAAACAAATCTTTCCTTGAATGTTAATACTCAAATTACTTGTTGTTTAGAACACATTCTTTCTTTCTTTATCCTTCTTTCTTTTCCTCTTTATAATCTTTCCTTTTTAAGAAACATTTTTTTGGCTTATATGATGTAAATAACTCTGTTTATCATTCTTTTTTCTTCGTTTATTTCTTTATGTAATTCTTTCTTAATTATATAATTGGTGTCTTTCTTTCATTCGTATATAATAACTCTACATGCTTACTTTCTTTAATTCTTTCTTTCTTTTTTCTTTCTTTCTTATATTATATCTTTGTATTTAATCCTTTTTATTTCTTACATAATACTTTTTAATTCTTTCTTTCTTACTTACATAATACGTTTTCATTCTTTATTTCATTTTTTATGTAATTCATTTTCAATATTTCTTTATTTCTGATATAATAAGTTTTTATTCTTTTTCTTCTATATGACATTTTCAATTTCCTTTCTTATATAAGTTCTCTTTCTTTATTTCTTATATAATACATTTTCCTTCATTCCTTCTTTCTTTCTTATATAGTACACTTTTTCATTCTTTCTTATATAATCCATTTTCTTTCTTTCTTTCTTTCTTTTATAGTACGTTTACAAGCTTTCTTTCTTATGTAAGTTATCTTTCTTTCTTTCTTCTGTAATATATTTCCATCCTTTCTTTCTTCTACAACGCATTTTCATTCTTTCATTATTATATGATACATTATTATTCATTCTGTCTGTCTTTCTTTCTTTCTTTCTTTCTTTCTTTCTTACATAAGACGTTTTCATTCAGTCTTTCTTTTGGCTTAATATATTTCCTTTCCTTTCTTCTTCACTCTTGCGTAGTGAATGCATTTTCTAAAATTTTCTTTCTTTCTTACTAGTTACATAGCAATATTTTTATTACATATTTCTCACCCAGATTTCCCGAACATTTCGTTCTCGTGAGAATATAAGAAAAATTACACACACACACACACACACACACACACACACACACACACACACACACATATATATATATATATATATATATATATATATATATATGAGAAATAAATAATTCCATTACCATTTATTTTCAATCCGTTTTTAGATGTCAATAATCTCTTGAGTTTATTTTATTTATAGGATCCATCGAAATTCGATCTCGGAATTCTCAACTAAATCATTTACTTCGTCACGCATCCTTTAGATAAATCATTTATCGCTTTTGATGGCAATTTCAGATCCAAGATTTTTTCGTATCTCCGATTTTCAGGTCTATTTTCTATCGATTTCCCTTTAAACAACTAAACTCCAACTAAAACAGTAAGGCACGCGCAAACATACGATATACCTACATTAATGCATCTGCATAAATGGGTGCATCTTAGTCTTGCAACCGATTTTAACTTTTCAATAAATATTTCTCTATTTATATCTCCGTTTTTATATAGGTAGAATACTAACGGATATACAGGCAGACATGTACATATATGTGATATTTTGTTTATAACTCCAAGTATATATATATATATATATATATATATATATATATATATATATATATATATATATATATATATATATATATATATATATATATATATATATATATATATATATACATACATATTTATTTATATATATATATATATATATATATATATATATATATATATATATATATATATATATATATATATATATATACATAATTTTATTTAATAAATTCTATTTATTTAAGAAAATACGTTGTATATAATTAAATATTAATTAATTTTCCGATCTGAATTTTGTTTAATAAATTGTATCGATGAATATACGTATAAGCAAGAATATATTAAATAATTGTAATTAATCCATTTAATAATAATAATAATAATATATATATATATATATATATATATATATATATCATCCCTTGACTTTTGTAATCATAGGTGGGGGCTAAAAACGCAGAAGCCACACTGATTTTCTTTCCACAACGGTCTATCAACAGCAGCCATCAGCAATTTTGGTATAATCATATGTATCCATTATTTGACATTGTCCAAACAGTTTTTGCGTTGGCGTCTTCTCCAACGTACACCTTGAACGGTGCCTCGGATGATGGTCTTGCACAGGCTGTGGTGCCATGTAATGTGTCCAAACCACGGCATCTAACATCATTTGACAGTGGCGAGAACAGGTTCCTGGTGGCACTTTCAACCCTTTTCTTGACAAATTCATTGTTATTTTCCCAATAGAACATGCCAAAGAGTTTTCTCACGCATCGGTTCTCAAAATCTTCTCTCTATTTCTGCCAACACACACAAACAGAGACACACAGACATAGAGAGAGAGACACACACACACATATATATTTACACATATTTTACTACATACTGGAAAATGCCAAGACACAATACAAATCGATTGGTAATTGCTATCATCAAGTAAGAACAGAACACCAAAGTTGGAAAGGAAAGAGGCTGTGAAATGATATTAAGCTACCCCCTCACGAGGGTTACACATGGCACAAGACCGGGTTTAACGTGGGATTTCCGAGTCCGTAGGCTCGGCCAAAAGTATTCCTTCTTTGAACCCGCATAAACGGGTTCAGGGGCAGTCAACCACCCCGAACGAGACTCTGCACTTCGGCGGAGCCTCGTCCGGATTCCTCTCCGCTCGAAAGCAGACAGTTATACTGTTGGCCCGGGAGCCATACCCCGGAGCCAAATTGAGGCTGGGAAATATTTATCATATTCGGATTAGGACCCTTTAACAAACGAGGAGAAAAATTGGATCCAATGGTGCACGTCATTCTGTCCTCATGCATATATATATATATATATATATATATATATATATATAATTTTGTTATACCTATATATATATATATATATATATATATATATATATATATATATATATATATATATATATATATATATATACCGGGTGTAACATCAAAATTGTTCAAATCTTGTAGCAGCATGAGATAATTGTTCATCCAACAATTTCTCTTCGACTTTTCTGTACATACCCTCATGGTAATTGTTCTGTTGAAATTTCCGCTTTGGTAACTAGACTTTAAGAATTTAAACGCAGTACTAGATTGGCAGCAAAGCATCACCATTTTACTGTTGAAATGGCTAGATATAAACGTAAGTTCTATGCTAACAGCTTCTATCTCGCTTCTTCTTTGTGAAATTCTCTTCCGGTTTGTTACTTCTCAGTCAAAGTCAATCGTTATCTTCTGTCATCGTATTCTTTTATTGATCTCTCTCCTTACTAATATTTTTTCTCAAATTCTCTAACACTCAGTAACCCCCTTGCATCCTAGTGACTTTATTAATTTGCTTGGACGAAATGATTAAAAAACACAACAAAAAACAAGCAAAAAAAAAACAAAAAAAAAAAGACAAACAGATGTGGATCTCGCACTGAAAATCATTTTTTCGGCAAAGTAGCTATTGTCTGTTTGGGCATTGCTACACGAGCTTGGTTGGTGTGTAAATCAAAGAAAGGATAGGGATTGTGATAGTCTTATATATACTCATATACATCAATTCTTCTTTTATATGTCGTGTCCGTTTAAGACGTTGGCGATCATGACTCGCCACCATTTCCTGTCCTTTTTAGCGTTTTGAAAATTTCGTCGTTTTGCTACCACGCCCCCCCCCAAAAAAAAATTCCTGATCTGGCAGCCTTTAACTCAAGAATCTTACGTAGATTATGCACTGATATCCTCTGTCCCTCAAGTTTTTAAGCATCTTTCTTCATTAAGTGCCCTAGAAATTACAAATGTCTCCTTGATATTAAGTGTCATTTTTGTTAACATTTTCACTAAATCTTCGACTTTGTTTACATGTTCTTTTCATGGTTTTCTAAATATCATTCTGTACAGCTACATTTCTTTGAGGATTTTTATTCCGCATTATCTGACATATAGAGGAATTGATATCACATAACAGTTCAGTGTTTATTTCAATACTTTGCTTAGCTTTTAAAAGGCAAATTTCTTATTCCATTACGACTTCGGATTCTGGTGTCGCATTTCCGTTCCCTGCTAATGCACTTCCTAGATGTTTCCATTTTGTACTTGCTTGATTTTAGTATTTCCAGATTTAATCCGAGATTTGGACCTTTCCGGACAAGCATGCGTTCTGTCTTCTTACAAATAGTGTTTCGTCTTTTCTTCATGCTTTTCTTTACCACATTCGCTAGGTACTCTGTTTTCTTTCTGTGTCTAATATCAACACAATGCCATGTGCATATTAATGTTATTAAGATTATTTCCGTCAATTATGAATCCTGGAAGGACTTTTACTTCTCTCAAAATCGTCTCAATATACAGTACAGTAGAAAGACATATATTGTATATTTACTGAATTCATTTTCTGTTCTTATGCAGGAGGGTTGTTTTGCAGTATTAGTTCCGAATTATTCTAATATCCTACCCAAACATGTCAATGTTACCCGCAGCGCAAACAGTTCTTGTTTTACGTACTTTCTCAAACGCTTAATGACTCAACATAATGATGGAAATATTTTACACACGATATACATTTAATTTTCAGTATAAACACAGTCCTTCTCAACGTACATAAAACAAAGCTTCTCCATTATATATCGAGATCGAATATCATGCAGTGGATATCAAGATTCAGATAATTATTGTATCTGTTAAGGACATATTGATTCAACAACTTAGACGAAAATATCTAGCCAACCACTACAGCAAAGGATGGGAAAACAAACACAAGGCATGCAATATAATGCTTGCTATACTAAACAGCTATTTTTTTAGGAACGAATTGGAAATTGTTTGATTTTATTTAGCGGAATATCAACCTCTACGGGTTATTTAATACCGAAATCTAAATATTTTTAGAAAACAATTCTATGGCTTCAATTGAATATTTTCCAACACAATTTTATGTTTTCAATTGCTGATAAAACGAATTGCTCGACATTTTGTTATAAAATGTATTGTTGTTTATTTTACCATATAAAAATATATTACTAGTATTTCTTTCTATAAAAGGTATAGCTATATTTTCATAGTGTTTGGGGGCTCACAATTTGACTATAGCTGGGATCATGACAGGGGCGACGACCCAGGGTTAGGGAGTATCTTGAAACAACAACAATTAAGAGGATGCTCTAAGCTCCACAAAACGCCCAATCTCCCGATAAGAGACCCTGATGCCGGAAAATGCCTTCACAGAAGAACAAGCTGTAAATAGTTTCAAATTTGCTCCGTGCCCAAATAAATAAATCACCCTCAAATTTTATATCTATCACCGTGTGAGCTTTCTTAAGAAAATGACAGGCAAGCATCCAGAAAAAGACTGTTTGCGAGTATTAAAATAAAAGGATTATTATTTATACCCTAAAAACTAAAACTGCAATGTAAACAAAAAACAAACAAAAAAAAAAAAAACAAAACAAAAAAAAAACAAAAAAAACAAAAAAAACAAACGTAAGATAGCTACTAAGCAGATATTAACATCTTCGGCATCATTTGGAAGGCATCATGAGACTTAAATCGTACCACAGGAGGTTGAGGCAACTTCACAGAATTCATGAAGGCTAGAAAGCTGAAGACGTGCAAGAAAGTTCCAAGAGATATGGGCCCACTGTCAAAATATTTTTTGACAAGTAAATTTACATAGGAGCCGTTGTTTTG